TAAAATAACCTGATAACTCTTCTTGTTTCCACCTTCGGTTCTTCACAATCCATTCCCCCCCCCCCAAGGCAGTTAAAACAGTCCTTTTAAGATGTAAACCTGATTGTGTCTTTACCCTTCTTAAAAGCTGTGCAACTGTGTCTCAGTTCCCACTGCAAGGCTAATAAAATGAAAACGCCTTACCTGGTTCATAAAGCCCTAAGTTATCAGGCCCTGCCGGCTCCTCTTACCTCATGGCCTACCCCTCTGCTCTTTCCCGTTGCTGTGCTCCAGCTATACAATGGTTTTCTTTTTGATCCTCTAATATGCCATGCTTATATGCAATGTAGGGTCTGTGCTCTCACTAGTTATTCCCTCTGCCTAGAATCTCAGTGTGCATGTAAGTTATCATTCTCCCAATTTGTCACTTCCTCTTTTTTTCTTTCAATTTCACAAAACCTTGAGTTTTCAAGATAACATCATCTATGAGTTTATCACCATGGTTCTCAAGTCCCTTCTGACTTAAGTTATAGTTTAACCATCCTCCCAGACCCCAAATTCTGCCGTGCTGGCATCACTGCTGGATCCTCATGTTGTCACATGGCTGACTTGTGGCCTGTCCGATGACAGATTCACTGTGCCAGACCAAGTATCCAAGGGTCAAAGTTTCCTCCTCAGAACAGGGGTTCCCTTTCTTCTATGCTGACTCAGTATCAAACATCAAGCGTAGCTCTGACCACCTGACTGAGAAAGAGCCACTGTCAACACTTTGGTGTCAATACTTTGGTGCATTCCTTCTAGGCCAGGCTCACACACTCACTGCTCCTGCCTGAGACAGATCCTACCATTGCAACTGGCTGCTCCTCATCTGAGGGTTGGGTGAATGGACATGTCAATGTTCTTGCTGCCATATCCCTGTTAATCCCTCTGTCACTTGGTCCGGATCTCCTACTTCTGAGCGTCTCACACTTGTAGGCACAGCATCCTAGGTGGAAAATTTTCTCAAGTTCTGGGACAGAGCACTTCTTCAATGTGCTCTTTTAAAAGATTTCAGTCTCTTGGGAATCTTTTATGGGTATTATACACCAAGAGGATCCTTGTTTTGGAGTATAGCTATGTACTCATTATTGTTCTTTTTAATATTAAAAAGATAATTTCAGGGTGACCAGTTAGCTTAGTTGGTGATAGCATGGTGCTGATAACACCAAGGTTACCAGTTCAAGCCCTGCATGGGCCACCATGAGCTGCGCCCTCCCTAAAAGAGTCAACTATGCCATTGTAATATAAAAGCAATGTGTAACCAATGACCATGGCTGTTTCCCAATAAAAATTAAAAAAAAAAGATAATTTCTAGGATTTGGTGCAGGACGACAAGCAACAGTATATGCTGAGATTATCATTTGAAACCAGAAACCCAATAATATAATAGCAAATAATTGCTAACACTAATCAGGTACTGTTATATGTGCTTTATATGTATTAAGTTATTTAATCTTCATAGCAATCCTATAAGAGTGATACTATCACTATTACTGTTTTACAGATAAAGACACAGAGACAGAGAAGTTAACTAACTTGCCTTAGTCTCACAGTTAGTAGACGCAGGAAATGGGACACTTTCACTTGCCTTGTTAGACTGCCTCTCAGTGTGTGAATGTGTGTGCGTGTGTGTTTCTGTGTGTGTAAGAAATAATACCATATATAATACTTTATAACCCACTCTTTTCACCTACTTTTAATGTTAGTAATTATAAGTCTGCAGAATCATGTCCACAATACACATTTACATATATTTTGGTCATTATATTGCTAAACCAAAATGTCTTTAATCAATTCATTTTGCTATATTTTATGTTTTCAATTTTCCATGTTAAGCAATTCTATGATTAACATTCTTGTCTTTATCTTATTCTTTTTTTTTTTTAAAGATTTTTATTGGGGAATTCAGGGATGAGAACAGCGCTGGGGGATTGGGGGTAGGCGAACAGACATGTTGCTGTCCTTTTGTTCTTCAGTCTAGTTGTGGAGGACGTTGCTTCACTGGCCCAAGTTGACACCATCATTAAGCTCTTCCCGGGCGAGGCAGATCAGTCGCCGGCTTCTGGAC